TAAAATCACCAATCTACCAATCTTCCCTCAGAGGTATACACGCGTTATTCAAATTCAATTTAGACAAAATGAATAGTTTTAGAGAAGCTACAAAGCGTCTGCGTGTTATTTTATGCTCCCCAATGTTCCCCCGAAGCCATCGACTAACTCTGCGTACCCTTCTGCCGCCGCCGCCTCCTCCGGTGGGAGCTGCGAGCTCATAAAAGTGCCGCTTTGCACACACTTCAGCGACAACGAGACACTTAAAAGAAGTCTAAATTTGTAAGCTGCTCCGCCACCGCCTTCGAGACAAGCATGGCGCCCCGCTGCAAAAACACACACGGGGAAGATCTAAACCCTCAGGATGGCGGAGATTCTCTTTCAGTGGTCGATGGCAAGATTTGCCAGCAAAACAGTGTAATGATCATCTTGCATTTCATCTTCTGACGTGCAAATATCCCGCTAAACCTCTCAGTGTCTTTCTCCAGCTGCACGCTTGAAAACATTCTCAGTTTTCTTACAATTTGGGGGAGGATTAACTGCTGTCGCAGACGAAAAACGCGATTGGATTACACGGGATTTGGCCATGACGCGTAGGTTTATTGCCAACCCTCAACCAAATTCACAAATCTTCATCATGTTCTTCTGGATTCACCACTTTAGCACTCGTACCTTCGTTTCGCTCAAAACTGTTGCATTGACCTACTCAATGTTCATATCGACGGTACCCGCCTTTAAAAGGCGGGCTTCGCCTGGTGAGTGACGTGGACGTCAGGAAACGAGGACGTACAAAGGTCTGGCGATTTACTGGCTTTAGAGTCGGCAAAAGTCGTCCGCGCAGAAAGAAAATCACCACAAGATCTCACAATATATTGAAAAATTGGTGATTGTACAAATTAACAAAAAAACCCTCAACGCACGGAACCCGCAAAAAGTGAATCGCGATACAGCGAGGGACGACGATAAACATTTCGAGGCGGAGGCGTCACTTCCTCCAGCGGCTTTCTCTTTGTCGTTGGACAGCGATATTTATTGTTAGCGCTCTGCTATTCGGGGACCGTTCTCAAGAGGACTCGCTCGCATTTCAATTGCAGTCGTGCCGAGCAACACATAACCAAGCAAAGCATTCATTTATATTCCTCCTGCTCGCAGTAAGACAACAAACTCATGACAGAAATGTTTGCTACTTGTTGGAATCGGCACACATGAGCCTGCTAATCCCAAATGCTCACATGCAGTTCGTGCGCAGATGCACACGCTCAAGCACGCACACACACACACACACACACACATCCAATCCTCTGAGTACGTGCCCGGTGAACCATGGCAGCTGTTGCCGGCATGATTGACAGAATTCACAAGTCAGGTTCAAGTGTGGGTGCGCACAACCAGGCAGCGTTACTAGGGTTGGTGAGGAGGGGGGGGGGGGGGGGGGGGGGGGGGGTAACCCCCCCCCCCCCCTTCACCCTCCTACACCCGTCCTCCTACTACAGATGCCTGTCACATGCTGCGATGTTTACTGCCAGTCATTCGGTGGTCTCCAGCGTTTAATTAGCGCTCGTTAAAGGCCTTGCCGCTTTTGTAAATAACATTTGTGGAAAATGTATATCACACAAACTGATCTCAAAGTCAACATCGCTACACGAGTTGTACGATCATGTCATACAAGGAAGGCGGCAAACACGGTGGCGCGCGTCACGCTTTCCGCTATTGCGCGTTCACGCCCGAGTAAAAGAGGCCGCGAGGTGCGTGTGTGTTGTTGGTCTGAAGACATGAGTGCGAGACGGACATCTGGATGCTCGCCAATCAGTGCCAGATGAGTGCACAGGCGTGGTAGTGGTCCTCTCATGTCTGCATTAATATTTACCCCCCCATTGCCGATTGCTTTTGGGCTTCTGCTGCATTTTGTATAAATATCAACAAAGGAAGGAAGGTGGTGCGGAGCTCTGATTTATGTACAGCGAGATGTCTCGAACCGATTTTAAACGGAGAGCTACTGATTAAAGTGATGCGCTATCAGTTTGATACACACTTGGGCACTGTTTAAATCTTGACAATGCTTATTTCTACATTCTTGAAACTAGTCTCTTCACCAAACCCTCACATGTAGATTTCAGCCTGTTTTGCTGCCGCTTCTCCCACTACTCCAGAGGCCAAGGCAGCGATGAGTGAAGTGAGGCTTTTGCTGTTGAAGGTTCTGCATCGAGCGATCGGGACAGGCCCTGAGGAGAAGCATTTCCCCAGAGGCCTTGACCTGCCGTGCTTCTTTTCATCATACACACTCTCATGATGTTCAAAGTAACATTTTTGAGCATCATATAAGGTGAATACGGTTGCCCACTCGGCATCCATTACAGCCTGGAAGAGGATCCCTCCATCTGAGATCCCTTCTCAAGGTTTCTTTCTTTTTT